TCTCTCTCTCTCTCTCTCTCTCCGTGTGTGTGTGTCTGTGTTCTGTGACACAAACACAAATCAACAAAACTTGGCGTAAGCTGGCCGTGTGGACTGAACCGATGATGTTATTGAGAGAGATCGACAGAAATGGCACGCAAGCAAAGTGGGGCCTAAGTAAAAAACGATGGGACCTGAAGAAGCCGGAAGCCGGAGCTTAGGTCGCGATGGGGGAAGAGAGACGGGTAAAGCAGGTGCAGACGGATCTTGCCACAGGATGTCGAAAGATGGACAGTCGAGGGCAATATCCGGGAGGAGGAGGAGGAGAAAGGATCAGATCCCGGCTAACCTCTTCCGCGCGGAGTTGGTTACCGCTCCATTGACTGAAAAATAGGTTCGACTCTTGGCGGACAGCACACTGCTCATGTTCTCTCTCTCTCTCCCTTCCTCTCTGCCAAGCACACGCGCACACGCACACGGACGCGCACACGAACACGCACACGTACACGCACGCGCACAAGCGGACACCCGCACACGCACAAGCACACGCACTCGCACGCACTCCCACGCCCACGCACACGCACACACGCACACGGACACGCACACACACACACGCACACGCACACGCACACGGACACGCACACACGCACACGCACACGCACACGGACACGCACACACGCACACGGACACGCACACACGCACACGCACACACGCACACGCACACGCACAACCACAACCACACCCCTCGTGAGAAAATGCACACGCACACGCAATTAGGACAGCGGCAGTAGGCCTACGCACACTGACACACGCACATGCACACGCACAGCACAGCACAGGCACAGGCACAGGCACAAGCGCACCCTTGTGAGCACATGGACACACACGCAGTAAGGAGAGCGGCAGTAGGCCTACGATAGGGGGTAGAGGTGCCCCGGGGGAAATTACGAAAGTGGTAGGTTGGAAGGGAGTCCCGTAGGGATACCACATGGCCAAGTGCCGAAGGTGCCTGTCATATGTCCAGAAATCCAGCATTTGCTTTTCTCCAAGGGCCAAGTCCCACATACACCTTGAGCACGGTTCCACTAGCCAAGGAGTAAGGTAAACTGTGTCCCACAAACACCTTTGGGACATCTGGGGGACATCGTCTGACCACTGATGCAGGAGATTCGGATGGCAGAGAAATTGCGAGGGATTTATATTCTGAGGTGGTTTTTTTTTTTTGTGTGTGTGCTTTTCCTTTCGGGTTCCCAAGAATGGGAGGCGGGAAAAGAAAATAGAAAGACTCTTTTTTTTTTTTTTTTTTTTTTTTTTTTTTTAAACAAAACAAAGCTCCATCTATTGGTGGGGAGCAACACCTGCTGGAAACCAGGTCCAGCGTCCCATAGATACAACCATATCCTCACAAATTGGCACGARCTGGGAACCGGGCCCAGCGTCCCATAAAGAGTACATTCAGAAAACTCGTCAGAAAATTTCATGCAAATGAGGCTAGGAACCTACTAGAAAAATCCAATTGGCCTAAGAATGGAATTTGAAAATTGAGATGCCGGGGCCATTACCCGGCTTTGGCTCAGAGGATTAGAGCTCCTTCAGACATATCTATGACAACTTCATGATTCAGAAACGACTCAGAAGAACCCCCATAAATCCACTTTACCTCCCTCCGGCAAGACTGACTGCAGCGGAGCCACCATCTCTGCTGCTGCTGTACCATACTCCCATCCTACCAGCCAGCCCCTTCACTGGTAGGACGCGTGATAACCCACCATCTTCTCCCACTTTTTTTTTTGGCTTCAGACATGTGATTTCAGAATCCGACTTAGAAGAACCCCCATCTATCCACTTTACCTCACTCTGGCAAGACTGACTGCAGCGGAGCCACCATCTCAGCTGCTGCTATACCATACTACCATCCTGCCAGCTAGCCCCCTCACTGGTAGGACGCGTGATAACCCACCATCTTTCCCACTCACCACTCCATGCTGCTGTGCAACAGTTCTGTCTTCGTCATCGAGAGGGAGGTCCCGGAAGACCAACAAGTGCAACAGTCTTGTCTTCGTCATCGAAAGGGAGGTCCCAGGTACTTTCTAATGAAGTCAGTTGACCACGGCCGGTACCCATCGAGACTCCACTCAATGCCAATCGCATCCGTTCTCAACCACCCCCATCAGAACCCCCTTCATCCTCCCCAACTCCGTCCTAGTGAAGGGTTCGAAAGACCATATCCTCAGCACGAGCTGGACACAATCCTCATCCTGCAATCTCCTGCCCCCTCAGGGATTCCAGTCTCCGTCATCGAGAGGGTAAGCCACCGCTGCTTGAGGCCAATCGCACCAGGATGATCCCTCATCAGCCGGTACCCATCCGGCAGCTAAGCTGCCCGATGCCAATCGCATCTAATGAAAAATCCCCCAGCCGGTACCCCGCAGACGACCTGATTCAACCCTCTTTTCGTCCTCACAAAGAGTCATCTCGTGCCCTTTGCCCTCCACCTTGAACAGATCCCCCAAAACCCAACAGAACCTCCACTCGCCTGTCCCTTCTTCACCCTCCAAAACTCCGTCCTAGTAAAGAGTTTGAAAGACCATGTCCTCAGTAAGAACCAGACACAATCCTCATCTTGCAATCTCCTGCCCCCTCAGAATTTTAGTCTACGTCTTCAAGGGGGTGAACCAACACTGTTCGAGGCCAATCGTACCAGAGTAAACCCTCATCAGCCGGTACCCATCCGACAACCCAAGTTGCCCGACGCCAATCGCATCCAATGAAAGTTCCCCTAGCCGGTACCCCTCAGACAGCCCCAATGCAACCCTCTCTCCGTCCTCACAACGAGTCATCTCGTGCCCTTTGCCCTCCATCTTGGACAGATCCCCCAAAGCTCAACAGAACCGCCCCGTACAAATTCACGAAATAAGCTCAACAGTTCACAAAGTTTTAAGAAGCGAATTATCGCCAATTTTTAGAGATCGTCTCAGACAACTGAAAACCCTAAAAAAAGTAGTCGCGAATCCCACAGAAACTGGAAACAGATGTGGACTGAGTACACCTGTGCCCCCCGGTGCCCCCCTCCCACACCCGACCACACCCCAGGGTAGGCAGGGATGTTATAATCCGGACAATGGGACGCTGGACCTGGTTTCCAACACTGTGGTGTCAGACTCAATGGTGAAGAAGAGAAAGATGTATCTAAGGGACGCTGGACCCGGTTTCCAGCAGGTGAGGCTCCCCACCAATAGATGGAGCGGCCCACCAGACAAAGCCTCAATCCCGGTGGTTCTCTTACCACCACTGGGATAGAGGTTTTGCACAGGCCTTAAAAAAAATAAAAAAATAAAAAAATTACAGGGAATTTAAGACAGGCTACGAATTTATAGAAATTTTAGGAATTTAATAGACTATACCATCGGATGCCCTAAATAGGATTTTCGACCAATACTATGAAAATATGGACCTGCTAAGCAGAAGGAGGGAAGGTGGAGGCCGTCATTCCTCGTACAAAAACGCGACAGACCTCAACCCCCCTCATGCTAGGGTGATAGGGCGCCACCGCTACCCCATAACTGGTCCACCTTGTTCGCACGGAAAGAAGTGTCTTCCACGCTCGACTACTCCTCAAAGTCATAAAGCCCCACAGTTACAGGGGAATACCCCCGGCCATGACTTCGTCGAACCCACTGGTTATGCTGCACTGACGGCATAACTCCCCAGGCCTCAAGCTCCTACCCAAGTTACAGAGCCTCAACTCCAGCACCGGCCTGAGTCGTCCTAACAAAATTCTCCTGACCTACCAGCCATAACCAACCATCCAACCACCTAGCCGATCCGGACCACCCTAAACCGATGCACCATCCTGAGGGAAGACAAAACAAATTCGAAGTTTACCATGATAGAAATCAATTAGGTTTGCGGACACAGGTTGAAGTTTACCATGATAGAAATCAATTAGGTTTGCAAACACAGGTTTCTTCAAGTAGAAATTAGTCAAAACGAAGATTAGGGAAATTATGAACTCTTATCTAGAGCATCGCTTAGAAGTTTTAAAGTTTTATGAATTAAAAAAACGAGATTTATGAAATCTATCTAAGGTGTTCAAATTGGACTCATGAATATCTAAAATCAAGAGGATAATCATGATCGTGGTTAAGATCGTTGTTAAGAACAACAAAATTACGTCAAGAATTATAAACCTAACAAAAACAGAGCCTGATTTGCGATTTTCAATTTAAGAAGTGAACTCACAGGATAAAAAGTATTTTGAAGATAAGATCAAAGGACACGATCAGAAACAATCGGAGTACAATCATAAAAAGAAGCAATCAGAAAACTATCAGAGTACAATCAAAGAATTCACAATCAGAGTGTTAAGAAATTGCGGAGATTATCTCAGACTGTAGATTTCACATTATCAAGAAACCAGGCGACGCGTGGGCAGAATCCTAATCCACTAATACCAGATTCCCGTTCCCTTTCAAAAGATGAAAAAAAATCAAGTACTCGAAGAGCATGGGCCTCGTTCCACTACCCTCGACTTGAAAAAATCTCAAGGGCAGCGCCATTCCACTACACCCTTGAGATGTCCTAATCACTATTGGAAAGTGATTACGGTTCTCGCCTCAAGAAAGTCCCGCTCTGAAACTCGAGGGCGGCCGTAGGGTGCCCAGGCAACTTCGACCAATTTTCAAGTCACCTCCCAGAGGTGACTTCAATTTTCTTGGAAACGGCGCCAACATGCGCCGCCAGGCAGTCCAGCCCCCCCGTCCGGGTCCTTTTTTTTTTTTTTTTTTTTGCCAATCACGGTTGTCCTGGCCCAGCGATGGACCTGGGTTGTGAAAATTCCCTCACGAACCGGGGTGCACATTTTCCCGCTCCTTTTGCGAGCGGGAACTGCAGGGTGTAGTGGAACGACGACGACCTCTAGTATTTGTTAATTACGTTTTGGCTCAAGGGCACCCATGGGGCTGCCCTTGAGATTTTTTTCAAGTCGAGGGTAGTGGAACGAGGCCCCATGTTTTTGACCCCCTTCTTTTTCCTGGTCAATGTTAACCCCATCCAGTACTTCGATTTTCTCTCAAAATATACGAAATGCAGGCTTGAGCATGGCAACCGTCAGAGAAGGGAGTCCCATCAGGCACACGAAGGGACTCCCTCGCGGTGGTATGCGAGACTGCAACAGTCACGTACCACTCTGTCCTGATTAGGCATTGGCTGGGTGGGGAGCAGGGGGAGGAGACGGGAAGGTTAGTGGGACGACAACACTTTCAAAAGTCGGCCTCCTTCCCATCTTGGGAAATGTAACTTCGCTATTTTTCTTTTTTTTAAGTCTTTAAAATTACTTTTCTTCCTTTTCTTACAGTGCCGCACAGGTCCAAATAGGCCATGACTCCTGTGCTAGTGGAACCGTGCCCCTTGTGTTCAACTGGTTCAACGGTGTGACATGATTTCTCCAAATAAAAAAATGAATTTTGCCATTTTTTTGCATTTTTT